CTGCACGGGATGGTACGACCTTGGTACACGGCGTACACGGCTAAGTCAATAAACTGGGTGACGCAACTCACTAGCGCGTTGGATCGACGGAGAGCACCGATACTCGGCACGCTCTACCGTACTCTCTCGCTCGCACACCTCCCCCCATAGACCCCTGAAATTCCTTCAACACCGACGGAGAGCACCGATACCGCGGTTCGCTCTCCCGCTCTCGCTCGCTCCCGTTCCACCGCTCCGGCCATCTCCGGTACCGTTCGGCTCGTGTCGGCACCGAGAGACTCAGCCCACCCTATATGTAGCTACTTCGAACAAGTAAACGTTCGATTGGCGGGAAGAGCGCGCGGTTGATTGGAGTTCGCTTAATGTAGTATTCCTGGAGAAGCCCTCTACAGCCCCGAACGCTAGAATAAACGCGCTTCTACTGTATGTATGTATCTCGTCTGTGTTATTATACGAAAAGAAAAAGGTAAAAATTACTCGGAAGCACCTATAGACGGTTGTTAGTATATAATGTCGATTAATGGGATTCAGAGGATAATGCAGAACTATTGGAAAAAATATTTATTCAAATCTTCTGCAGATATTCTGTATTATGTATTCTTTATATATATTCGGATGTTTAAAATACATTACACATTCTGAAACGATTCGAAGCGATTAGTAATAAATGTAAGTGCTTGTTCAAATAATTTGCGTCTATTAAATAAAATTTCCAGACTAACAGAACAAATTCAGCGAGATCGTTCTCGAACTGATCTTGACGACGGAATATCAAAAATAACTTCGTTTCGGGGCACAGTCGATAGAGACTGTAATAATCTGTGCATGGCGGGGCTTAGGACAGAGTTTTCATGCACGGCACCGGTGGTTCCTGGTACCGATAGATCATCATTTCCATCTTAAATCTATTTCTTTGGAAGTTCTATTACCACCATTAACAGATGATAAACGTGTCACGGTGTTCCCATTCCGACGACCATTATTTTTAATTGACATTTATTCGATGTATAGACTAACACTTTATTTGAAGTAGTCTCCTGTACTATGCGTTACCACTTGAATGTAGAGAAGTGGGTGCTAGATAGTAGACAGACATGTCAATAGTCTTCGACACAAACGTAAATGGCAGTAAATGGCTGACGTGCGTTTACGATAAGAATGATATCGCTTCACCAACGAAAATGGAACATTGTCCTGGAACACGTAACACAAGTGTATATCTTAATGATAATATGTCAAAGGTATCATTTTATTAAAAATGGAAAACACGACCGCTGAGCTGGAGTACGCGTAATTTTATTATTGCGAAGTTAAACTCGAAATATCTCGTTTTCGGTTTAATTTGCGTAGGATATTCTACGACATGTTTGATTCTACGAATGAATACTTTTTCCTTAATTATATTCCTGATAAACGCTCTAAAACGCTCGGAACCCCAAGCTGCTGGAAGTTTTTTTAAACGGTCGCTACGCATACAAGGATACTCGGGCGCGGTACTGTAGACACGTTTTTCAGCCCTTAAGTACACTCAACCTTCCCCGCGGAAAGGGCTAATAATTCGTGAATTACGACACCCGTCGCGCAATCGGAAGGCTAAAATTAGTATATTAAAATAAAGATTAAATTGAAAAAAGCCGGTTCGTGTTTCAGGAAGTTTAGGCAAAATTCAGAGGATCCATCCACAAATGTATACTGCAATACAATTTCTTAGTGTCATATTTTTCGCCCATATTATGTTCCTTATATTAACTTAAGTTTTCTCATTTAATTAATACGTTCGATATTTTACATTTTTCTACCGGAATTTAAGCTTCCGTAATAAATTACAAACGGGGGTAGAATTTAAAAGGCTTTTACCGCTTCGTTGCGTCGCTAATAAAATAATTCACAGGATCGTGACTTTATTCCTAGGGGAACTATCACACCCCTCGACATTTCTTCACGCATAGTGCACTGCCAATACATTGTAGCCACCCTGCGCGTCTCCCATAGGAAACACATTCTCCCTTCTACTTGTACATTACATCGGTAATTAGAAAGATTTCGTGGAAAACATTTTATTCCTTTATCTCCATATCAGTGCAAAACTCGATATTTCTTCTGGAAAGTAAGAACGTAACACTCCTATACCGTCCGATCATACTTTCATATTCACAATATCTTCCTCCTATATGTGTGTTTTTCTATAACTCTCTACCGTTCGATACACGTTCCCTATCATGCTTTAAACCTTTCGTGCTTCTCTAAATCCTTTCGTTCATTCCATTCACAATCTCTCCCTTCCTTCATCTGTTCACCTCTCTTAGATCCATTTCATATTCTTTACATCTAGTATGTGTTTCCCTACGGACCAAGGCATTTTAAGTATCATGGTAGTTCTCGATACTAGACACAGTAATGACGCTGAACCTCAACCATTCAGCATTAGTGATTCAACAATCATTCTAACGATGCAATCAAGTCATTAACAATATGAAGTATACCCATAAACGAACGTAGAAAAATCTGAAATCTTTGGAAGTAATAGCAAACGTTCCTTGTTCACGCGACAAGGAACGATCAAGTTGTAACGAAAGGGAAGTGGAAGACTCGCGGCGTGCCAAAAATTTGGTCCAAGGAGGAGGAGAGTCCGGAGGATAGTATTCCTGGCCGACGGAGAACCGCGAGAGAGTATTGATTAAGGGATTCGTCGGGAGGGATCCTCGTAGTCGAGGGGATTTCCTCTCTGAATGCACGGGGGTGGGTGGACGATGAATGGAGGGGATTGAAGCGACAGCGTCACGGGGTCGCGGGGGTGTTTGGCCGACGCAGTTGCTCTCGTGTGTGGGGGGTTGCACGCATTGGGTGCGTGCCGTGACGCGCATGCGTCCTGCCTTTCCGGTTTTCGCACGCATGCACGTTACACAATATCCTGCGTGTGTATTTGAGCCGGGTCCGCACGTGGCGTACATCGACTGAACGAAAAGTGAAAGGGGGAGTGAAATATAGTAAAAAAGAAGAAAGCAAAAATTGAATCGTTGAAACACAGAAGATATCCTTCGAAAGGAAAGCGTCGAGGCTTCTCGCGACAGGAATTTCCATCGTGTGAGACGGACGCGTCTGTTTCCGGTTCCGTAAGAAGAGTCACCGTGGGTAGAACGAATATAATGACTTTCTCGAGACACGTTAAACGATAACCTGGCTTCATACGAGTGGCTCCTTTTAGAGATAAAAGGATTCTGTGTCTGCAAAGGTTAATATGGACTCTTGGTTTAGACACCAAAGTGTTTTCTACTCGTGTCGTGTGTCGAATAAGGATGTGCCCAAGATCAACTGTTAAGGCCCAAAGAGGATCAATTTAAATACTCTGCATCTTTTTTTTTTATAAAATCAAGAACCAATAATAATTTTAATTATTTTAATTATCGTTCACGATAAATAACAAACCAGTGGTCACAGTTACATCGTTTTTCTAATGTTTGGATGTCATTTAAAAATGCATTCGACCTGTCGATCGACAAGCAATGTTCCAGATATTGTCACCAAAGTGATAAAGCGAGCGTCTACTGTAGTAGTCGAATGCACGTATCAGGTTAAGGCTTCATAAAAGTACACGACATTCCTTCCACCGTGTATAAGTCTCGCGTGGCGTTTAACACGCTCGTACATACGTAGGAAGCACACAATAGTGTCAGTTCGTACGGTGGCGACCGGCTCGTGGAAACAGCGGGGCGCTCACGTTCCTCTCGATAACTCCCTCTTCGTCACTCTTCTTTTTTCGCCGTATACATCGTGCTTTCTCGTACGCTGGCCGAGGGACTCTCTCCCACCCTCTCTTTCTCGCAGGCACCGGCAACAGAACCGGCGGGCACCGGCGACCGAAAGGGGCTGCAGCAGTTGCGATCCGATGATCGACGAGTGCGCGTCTCTTGTGCGCGTCGCACGGTATGTCAGGTGTCGTCTCGGTGTCGCGTGACTTGTCCCACGGTGAATAATCGTACCTGAAACGTGGTTGGACCCGTTATTGGTGGCTGTGCTGGGACCGGAAACATGAGATGTTAACGGGGATACGTCAGGTAAGCGGAAATATCGTCGTTCTGTCGGTGGATGTTGAGACCACGCGTGAGACGCGGCGCGTTCGTTTACGTTCGTTTCGGCGAGGTGAACGGGGATGGTAGTAATTGGGGAAGGTTATTGCGTTCTTTTGTTATTGACAGTGTTTTTGCATATATACATACACTGTTGGTACTGCGCTGGAATGGTGTGGAATCAGTGTTGAACAGAAATATTTTCGGAGTAGTTCAGATGAGGAATCCTTGCATGCTGGATGCATTGCTAATTTTAATGACAGTATCGGGATGGATTTTTATTCCGAGTGACATTTTCTTTATTGGTAATTGGAATTTTGAGTTTTGCAATGTTTAGATATGTAAGTGGAGTAGAAGAAGTATATTGGCGTTATTGTACTTACAATGTCGACTCCAAAATCGGAATGTTAAGCCCTGAACGTTTAATCGAAATGCATGGTGGACCAGGTGTACTACAGTTTCCGTGTGAGATTAAGCGAGGCGAAAGAAGGGACCGTACGATAACCTCACCGAATCAATCGATATCCACGTCTGTGTCGTCAGTAATTAATCGACGAGTGGTACGATAACTTCGGTGCTTGACATCGGTGAAAGGGGCAACGATAAGTAGAAGCCACCCCCGGTTGCCGATCACCCTTCGCTTGTGTCATAAAGTGTTTAGAGTAAATTGGACGGGATTGATGTAAATTAGCGAGAGTTGATCGTCGCCAATAGAAAATCGTATACATGTATATCCAGGGTATGTCGTACGGCTTGTTTAATAGCGATTGTATGCGAACAGTGACTGTAATCTCGTCACCACGTGCTTGTCCATTATTCGGGCCGAAACCTCCGGGGCACTTTATTAACACTCATTGTTGACCAGTGTTTACCTAGTCGATACGGATATACGCATTGATTGGTCTTGATTCTTATCGATTCGTCATACGTTTTACTCTCTGATACGATGGCCTCTAAAGTGCACGATCAGCTGAAAGATTGTTCAATAAAAATATCAAGAAATAAAGATTTTGTTGACCAAGGGAAAGTTGCAAATTGCTGGAGATCGCTGTTCATTGCTATTTTTAATCGTAATGGATAGATTGAGACAATTGGGGAAGTCTAACAGTGTCCTTTCGCAAACAGAATAATTGGAGCTAGAAGAATATTTCTAGTTACGGGATAATGATCGTGAAAAGTAAACGAGGAGGATGAAATTCGAAGAAATGTGTTCGAGGCAGATGTCAGACTGATTTTCTAATTTGCACGCAACGTTAGCTGACGGTTCTTTTCGGCTGACCGTATAGAAGAGGCGAGCTTAAATTGCATTTCTTGGTGTGCGCGGTGCGACATAAAGTCATTAAAGAATTTCTAAGGCGTCGGACAACGGCCTGCTACTACTACGAGCCTCATTACGCGTATACGCGAGTATATCTGGCCCGTATGCTCTGGTGTATACGTGTAACAAGTACACGAATCTTCGTGTTATTCTGTAATTGCGGTTGCTCTTGTCGCTGATACATTACTGGGACAAATGTTTGACGAGCGGTCTCGTTCGCCTGCTAGAAAATTGAATTCCAGATTCCGTCTAATTGCATTAAAACTATTTCGATCCAATGATGGGGTTACTGATCCGTATTCCCTTGTTCATTCCGATGTGAAAATATTATTTTCTCTTCTATCGAGACCCTTGTGTTAAATTTAACGATAGATCCGACTTTCAATGATCAAATTTAATTATTCACGATTCAAATTTAAGATCATCAGTCATTCTTTTCCTATGTTATATTTTCGGGGCACTAATTTTTCTAGGAACAGCCAGAGGTGTGAAAAGAATTAGTCGATTCTGTAGGGTTTAAAGCTTAGTGGTAATTGATGTCTTGTTTTATTAGCGTTCAATAGCTATTCAATCACGCTTCGCACGATGATACAATCGGAGAGCGTCGATGATTCACAGTGATTATATTTTCATTAACACGGTGTCAACGGGACACATGCATTGATCGACCGGCGAAGACGTTTTGAAACAGTTTTCCTGGAAACAATGCAATTACTCAATCGCAGGCTTTCGTTAATCGATTGCACAAGGTGTGCTCCCGCGGACACACTACTCTTCAGTCTTTGATTCTTCGAATAACAACAACATTCTTATGTTTCACAAAAGTCCTGTGAAACAACGATGAACACCGAGTTTCTGCAATCGAATCGTTTCGCGATGTTAATCTAATGACGTCGGGCGCCAAGCTAACAAACGTCCATCTAAAAAGTCCACCGCCAGTTTTAAGGCGCAGTCGCGGAGATCGTGGGTGAACTTTTAGTACAAGAACACACGTTCACGAGAAAAATAATCGCCGGCCACGATTGACGAAGTCACGACTCCGAACGAACTTGTTCGGGAAATATCTGCCGCATGCATATAACAACAAATGAGCTCGCGATGCAAGTCGACGAAACGTTCAGCCATTGGAAATATTCTTTTAATGGCCGTTTGGACGAACCGGGAGATACTAAAAGACAATCGTTTTCTATGTTGATCTTTAGCACTGCATCATTTCCTTTATGGCCTGGCCAAGATAATTTAGATGGGAATCATTTACTTGAATGACTCAATCGGTCAGCGTGCCTGTCAGTGCTCGAAAAGCTCTCCGTTAAAAGTTGGCATCGTGACACACTTTTGGATAGTACATCGTGCACACCTTTTAATAAGCTTTCGTAGAATTTATAATCGGTTCAGGTGTTCTAGACTGATTAACGTTACATGTGATTTTACTTGGTGAACAGGATATGTTTCATTTGTTACTTAATATTTTACATGTATTATGCTCTGTCTTATGTACTTACACGACAAGGTGTAGAAAAAAGGAGGTCGTTCGCCCTATTCCACTAACAGGTTCAAGTTTCTTCGAAATTTCAATTTTCTTAGATCACCATGTAATATTGTACAAGGCATCGTTTGAGAATAATAACTTCTTAACACTTTTGCAGAGATTTGTGTGTCGTACAACGGTTCCTTCTCATAAAACTATATAAAATCGTTCTCAAAGTGATTCTCATAAAGTGAACTAAAGTTATAGATACTTTAGACTCCAGGAAACTTTATACCAATCTGGTTTCTTCGGGACGACACGCTTCAGTACCCTCTTCCTCGAGTCTATGTCCTAGACCACCCAACAAGAAGTTCCACCGTTCTCTATCCTACAGGACGATTTGCAAGAAAACAATGTTATTTTTTTCTTTCGCAATTCCGAGCATCCGAGTACAACATCGTATAATACTAACTAATTCCTACCTCGTTCAGAACGAAGCTCCACGGGTGGATTCTACTTTCACCGGAAGCACCGATAACGCTTGACTGCTATTTTCGCAAATCGAAGGAAAGAAAAGGACAAAAGGAGGGAGAAAATGGTCTTATCAATGCACGAACTTTCACGGCGTCGGTTTTGGGTCGTGGCTACGAAATTCGCTCGTAGAAGGAATTCCTCGTTGCGATTAGTGGAACGCGCCTATACCCACGCGCGCTATGGTCACGCTCCAAAACTGTTGCTTATTACCTCAATCTTATTACCGCTAACGGAGCATTACCGCGCTTTAGAATTACCTATTCCTCGTCCCCCGAGAGGCCCGAGGCACCTCGTGCTGTTCGACGAAAAATTGCACAAGCACGATTTTGACTTTCTACATGAGCAACAACGCACAAGCGATGCAAATAAACTGCAGCTGCCTATCGTTTTCAATAGAACTTAAACAACATGCATAACGACCGTGCAACATTTAGTGTAACAACGTATGCACGGAACTTAATTATTGGAAGAAAAGGGGAAAAAGAATTAGCGTACACCTAAATGGTATTTTGAGTACAACGAACTTCGAGCATCGAAGATCCTTACGTAAATATGTAATTTTGCCGACAGATCGATACACGTAACGGATTAATATGACATAAGGGGACTGTACAACACACAGTCTTATCCTTTTTCTATACAGTGGTAATACCCTCTCTTTTTTCTCTGTAAAGTTGTTACGGAAATGGCAATAATTTGGAACTTTCATCTCTTTTTTGATTTCTAAATAGAAAAATGAATTCTACGATAAAAAAATACATGCATGTGTATTCAAATGTCATATACTAGTTAAAAAATGAAAACTTTTACAGGACACCCCGTAGAGATTGATAGAAGCAATCACGAACGAGTGGGGTTAAAAGGTTTTAATCAACTGAATGGCCACTGGTTGTTGTAAACAGTAATTTTCTCCCTTGTGGCTTCTTCAACCGTTGTGACCAGGGGTCATTAGAAGGCAGCCTACGAAGGGTAGCCAGGTTTTATTCACGTGTACCCGAGGAAACGTTTCTTCCTTTTTTACCCCTCATTCCCCTTCCCTGTGTCCGTCTTATTCCTCTCTCAAGCGCATCCCGATTCTAATATACTCGCTTATCCCAACGTCGTTAGTCGAGAGGACGTAGGGGAACCGAACATAATTTAGTAACCATTCTGCACCGGTCAAACTACGCAGAAACGTGTACGTACAGTCTCGTTGGAACGGTAATTGGACATAGGCACGCTCTGTTTATGCGATTTAATTAGTCGCGTTGATGCCGCGCGCTATTTTGTACGCCGACGGATTCCTTCGATCCTCTTCTCTCATTTGACTGACATTGAAATAAAAAGTGCACAGTTCTCCGGATCCAACCGTGAGATTTGAATTGAACGACGCTTGGTGAACGGAAATTAGGGTCTGGTGGACATTAAAACGGGCGTTTTAGAGACTCGAACGAATCACGATCCGGTTTGGCGGTCGAGATACTTCCGATATTTATGCAGATAGCTTCGGAAATTGTAGAATTAATTTGATTCGTTAACGGCGAACGGATGTTGAGGACAGTGGACGTCGATTTGTTTAGATTCGATTTCACTTAGTTTAGTAAATGAATTTTTAAGCGCCACTGGTTTATGCTGTATTTTCATACAAGTCGTTTAGTAATGAATTTCGGAAAGTGTACAACTCTCTTT